CCTCTACATCAACGTAAGTGCTGTCTATACACTTCTGCATCCACCTCCCGTGTATAAAGTACTATAGATGCCTCTTGGAGATGCCAGGTGTTCACTCCTCTTGTTGAGGACGCATTTATTTTGCCGTACATTCCACAATTTGTCAACTCATTTTGTTACATAATGTTTCCAACTGTGGCTTAATATAAATAAATAAATGAACATTGCAGAGTTAGCGCTATGGGGTGATCTTGAACAGAATGTTGAATCCATCATACCAGGATCTGTACACATGTTTGTGGATGGCAATGTACAAGGCTATTTTACCCAATAGCCACTCTTCCTTGCAAACATGTCCAACCCTTGATATGGTCTTTCAAATGATGTATTTCTATTTATTTGTGTTACTGTGGATGAATCAGATTATAGTCTATGTAGGCAGAGATGGAACACACGCCACTACGCATACGTGATCCCACCGTGGCCATTTTGGATTCTGGAACATGAGTTGTTTATATGATATGAAGTGCCTGGTTGTCATCTTTTCATTGTAAGTGCATTTACTACATTAAATTGGTGTTTTAAACAGGAATACACCATGGAGAGGGTGTCTTTTTCCTTTTCATGATGCCAAGTCCAACTGAGTATATATGCACAGTGATCTGATATAACGCAGCAGTACCATCATTTGACATGTAATTTGAGGAAAGCTGGATATCTTCGATTGACACACAAGTGCTGGTTGACCACTCTTTTAACTGGAGGTCATATGATTCTGGTAAGCCTCCCTTTGTCGTACACTAAGGTGCTGTGTGGTTCATCATTAAGAAGTTTTGGTGGCGTTTGGTATCCACATCTGTCATTTCCCTCGTAATCGAAGAACCACTAAATTCAGTTTTTGGCTTCACATTTGGATTCCTTTGTTTTATTTTTTCAGTTTGTGGTGACACCTAAGAGTTTGATATATTTGCATTGCACTTTTGTATTGCCCATACATTTTAATTTATCCTAGTGCTGCACTACTGTTTTGTGATCAGGGGCGGACTGACCATTTGGAAACTCAAGTACTGCCCAAGGGCCCGGGGTCAGTAGGGGGCCCCATGAGATGCCCCTGGTACCTTTTTCATAGGCTTTTTTGAGTTTGAGCAAGGACACAGGGGCCCCATGATCCCCTATTGCCGGGGGGCCCCATGAGTTGTCAGTCCGCCCCTGTTTGTGATGTTTATTATGCTATGTATTATGGTATTGTGCTAGCTGCATTTTTTTTTACATTCAACAGAGCCCTTTTTTCATTCTTATTTATGGTGGCAGCACAGTGGCTAGATGGTTAGCACTTCTGCCTGGCAGTACCTCCAGTTAAGGCTGCATTGGTTCAAATCCCAGCCACAGCACCACCTGCCTGGAGTTTGTATGTACTCCCTGTGCCTGTGTGGATTTCCTCTGGGTACTGTGGTTTCCTTCCACACTCCAAAGACATGCCAGTAGGTTAACTGGATCCTGTCTAAATTGGCCCTAGTATATGAATGTAAGTTAGGGACTTTAGATTTTACACTCCTTGAGGGTTAGGGACTGATGTGAATATACAATATCTATGTAAAGCGCTGCGTAAATTGACGGCACTATATAAGTACCTATAATAAATAAATAAATAGTCTATGTGCAGTATAACCACTTGCCCTCCAGAGGATTTACCCCCCCTTCCTGCATTACTTTGACAATTGCACGGTCATGCAACGCTGCACCCAAATGAACCTTACATCCTTTTTTCCCCACGAATAGAGCTTTCTTTCAGTGGCATTTGATTGCCTGTGCATTTGTTATTTTTTGCCCTATAAAAAAAAAAAAAAAGAGCGACAATTTTGAGAAAAAAAAACAATACTTTTGACTTTTTGCTATTAAACATGTCCAGTAAAAAATTTTTTAAAAACAAATTTCATCATAAATTTACACCAAAATGTATTCTGCTACATGTCTTTGCTAAAAGAAATCCTAATACTTGTAAATTAACCACTTGCCCTCCTGAGGATTTACCCCATTTCCTGACCAGGCCATTTTTTTGTGTTACGGCTCTGACTTTAACTGACAATTGCGTGGTCATGCAACGCTGCACCCAAATGAAATTTACGTCCTTTTTTCCCACGAATAGAGCTTGTTTATATTGTTTACATACAGTTCTCTCCCCCCCCCCCCCCGTTGGTATTACTCGGCGATCACCGGGTGCCGGAGAGTAATCACTGGCTGGGACCCGGTGATTGACAGTCAAGGCCGCGAATGGCGGCACAGGTGGGGTGTGCGCATGGTTCGCGTGTGCCCCCTACCTGGAACAAAATATATAAATATGTGATTTTGCGCACCTGTGCCGCCCTGTAGTAGTATTTCTGCTATAGGGCGGATGGCAAGCGGATAATGTGAATACACTTAGTTTGCAATGCAAAACCATTTTCTGCGATCCATGCCTCACCACATGCTGTAGAACGACAAGTATCTGATATGCCCCCTCCATGCAGATATTGTTATGCTACACTGGTATAGAATGCCTGTTCTCCAATAGGCTATTGGTATTTTGTATGATGAACACAATATTCACTGCTCTGCCACCCATAATATTTGCTGTCCGCAGTTGTCAATTTTTCTTATACTAGGCATAGCATAGTAAAATTGAAAAGGAACTATAAGTCTCAGCATTCCCTTGCTTGGACTAGTAGTTCTACCTAGCTGGCAATTCCCAGTTCAGCTGCATCCATTGTAAAGAAAATACATGATTACCATCCCCTGGTGCAGCCAGTAGCCCCCCCAGAGATGACTGCAGTGCAGCTAAACACAGAGCAGTCATGCCGCCGGTGGTCTCACAGCTTGTGTTCTGAAAAGCTCAGAGTATGACCCCTGATCATGTGGAGTTTCCTGACACTCTTGGGATTTCCTGAGTGGCGCCTGTTACCGGAACTTCCACATGATCAGTGATTACATGCGTAGGCTTCCGGGACACCACAAGAGAGCTCAGTGCCCAGCACTTGACTTCTCCTCCCTCCTCCTTAGCCCAGCTGTGCTGCACTGTGTAACCATCAATGAAGGGAGGAGACTAGACAGGTCCTTGGCTTTGTACACTAGACACATGGCAGATAATGAAGGGAGGGGCGGCCATGAGAGGAGAAAATGAACTGCCTGCATCATTCACTGACATATTCAAGGGGCCTACTTTAAAACTGAATTAGAAGCAGCATAGTAAGAGAATAATAATTTTTACCTACAAACACATATATTTTCTTAAAGTGTTCCTAAACCCACAACAGTAAAATCAGTCTGTATATGCAATAAAGCATGCTTATTCTACTCACTGTGGAACCTAAGGGGTTAATCCTCTGCATTGTGTAAAAAGGCTGTTTGATCCTGTCTTCTCTGCCCCTCCTCTTGTTGAATTCACCACCTGATACAGACTGAATCTGTAGTCACATGCACATGCTCAGTTTGGTGTGTATTGCTAAAGAGGTTTTTTTTGTTTTTCTTCGGAGAGTGTATGTGATCAGCACAGGGCCAATCAGCACTGTCCAGACAGAGGGTCAGGGGTTTCACATCCTCCTAGAGCAGAAAGAAAACTCCTCCTACAAGATTTAACCAGTGCTCTGCTGAAGTCACAAGACTGCTCTAACTGTTGATGAGAAAAGGTATTTAGCAGATTATATTTACTACAATAATTGCATTTCCATGTTCTGTGTACTGTGGGAAACCTGATATAGTGAATGCAGGGTCCTGGGTTTAGTATCACTTTAAGTCTAGGTTCACACCTATGCGTTTTCCACTACATTTTGCGTTTTGCAGAAATGCACAGCGGTCTATTTAACATGATTTCCTATGGGACAGGTTCACATCTCCATGTTTTCCCCGGTGCGTTTTTTGGAAAGGGTCAGAGACTTTTTTAAACACAAAACATTGCATTTAAACACTTTAAGTCTAGGTTCACACCTATGCGTTTTCCGCTACATTTTGCGTTTTGCAGAAATGCACAGCGGTCTATTTAACATGATTTCCTATGAGACAGGTTCACATCTTCACGTTTTCAACCGGTGCATTTTTTGGAAAGGGTCAGAGACTTTTTTAAACACAAAACATTGCATTTTTTCGTTCTATAGACTTCAATGGACACGCTGCAGAAAAGCAAGTAGTGCGTTTTGATGTGTTTTTTATGTGCTTTTAACATGTTTTTGAGGCTTTTTTTCTGCCCAGCAACAAGCTGAAAAAAAAAAACGCAAAACGCTGCAAAAATGCATCAAAAACGCACCACAAAAAATACTACAGAAACGGATCAAACGCAAACTACATAGGTGTGGACTTACCCTAAAACACATTGCCCGAATTCTTCAATGTTCTCATTTTGTTAAAATGGTATTAAATCCCAAATAAAAACTTTTATATATTGCAAGTTACCAATTCTTAGATTTGGTGGCTGCATTAGTTTTCTTTTTAGGCTTTTTCCCCTCTGTTTTCACCTGGTGATCTGGCCAGTAACACAGAGACACCTTTGGACAACAGCATTGCCAGTCTGGGGGAAGGGGAGTGTTAGTGTATCTAAACTTGCTAGTGCATCTAACAAATTGAAGACAAAATCAATCTTTATAAGCAGTTAAAGCAACAGTTTTGTTCCTTTTGGAATAAAGATTTTTACATAAATAAAAGATGATCATTGTAAGCACCCTTGTCAGTGGTAAATGGTTTATCTAAACTCTCTAACTACTACATCTGCCAGACAGCTTGTTCTGTTGAAAAACAACAGAGTTATTGGCTAGATCACCTGGTGAAAGAAAGACTAAAACGAAAACGAATGCAGCCATCACATCTAAGAACTCGTAAACTAAAATATAATAAATGTTTGCTTTTGAGTTTATTATCACTTTATGTTGCGTTGTCCATGCACGTCAAAATGCCAGCATCTCTTTAATCACCTCCCGCCCGCCATATAGTACAATGACAGGCGCAAGGTGGTTCTCTCATTCTGGGATGATATCATATGATGTTGTCCCATTCTAACTGTGCATGCGCGGCCCCGGGAGCTTGTAGCGCGGCGATCGGCGGTGTGCTGTGTCCCTCGTCAATGGAAAGAGTCGAAGATGTCGGCTCGGTCATGTGAGCACCTGTGTCCATTCATAGCTGATCACATGTAAACAGGGAAATGCCGGTTATCTGCATTTCTCTCCTCACGAGCTGTCACGCTGACAGCTCGAGAGGAGAGGAGAGCTGGTAATCGGCATTCCTCGGAGGGGACATGTACACTGATCATCAGGGCACTGATGATAAGTGTGCCCTGATGATCAGTGTAGCTCCAGCAGTGCCACCTGTCAGTGTCCATCAGTGCCAGCTGTCAGTACTCATCCATGCCACCTGCCAGTGTCCATCAGTGCCACATCAATGCCACATATCAGTGCCTACCAGTGCACATCAATGCCACATATCAGTGCCCATCTGAGCTGCTTTTCAGTGTCACCCATCAGTGCCACCTATCAGTGCTGCCAATCAGTGCCGCCTATCAGTGCCAGTCAGTGTCACCTATCAGTGCCAGTCAGTGCCGTCTATCAGTGTGCATCAGTGCCATTCAGTGCTGCCTATCAGTGCCGCCTAACAGTGCCAGTCAGTGCCACCTAACAGTGCCAGTCAGTGCCGCCTATCAGTGCCAGTCAGTGCCGCCTGTCAGTTCCATATATGAGTGCTGCCTTTCAGTGCCCATCAGTGATGCCTGTCAATGCCCATCAGTACCACCTACCAGTGCCTCCTCATCAGTGTACATCAGTGCCACCTATCAGTGTCCATCAGTGCAGCCTATCAGTGCCCATCACTACAGCCTCATTAGCGTACATCAGTGAAGGAGAAAAATCACTTATTTACAAAATGTTATAACAAAAACTAAGAAAACTCTTTTTTCAAAATTTTCTGTGGTTTTTGGTTTGTTTAAGAAAAAATAAAAACCCCAGAGGTGATTAAATACCACCAAAATAAAGCTCTATCTGTCACAAAAAAAATAATAAAAATTTCATATGTGTACAGTGTTGCATGACCGCGCAATTGTCATTCAAGGTGTGACAGCGCTGAAAGCTGGAAAATTGGCCTGGGCAGGAAGGGGGTATAAGCCCTGTAGGCAAGTGGTTAAAGGGCATTCCTTCACCCCCTTATACTCACCTTACCTCTGCTCTCTTACAGTTCCGTGCTCCTCCACAGCCAGCAAGAGCACTCAGAACGTCTAGGTATGGGGGAGCCCAGATCTAACCACCAATTGCTAGGTAAGGTGAGTACATTGAGGTTGATGGTGCCCTTTGTAAAAACACTGTCATGTTGCCTTGCGTGGGCAGGGTGACATTGCCCCTTTGGAAGAGGTAATGTCCAATCAGTGAATGCTTTGCATTTATTGGAAAATGCATTGGAAAGTGATGGCTACTTGCCAACTGAGCAGCTTCCAAAGTTCACTAAGCAGAAGGGTCCAGGAAGCAAGTGACAATTACTGCAGCAGCAGATCACACTACAGTGATTTTCAGTCTCCATGGGGCTCGACCAGGTACGGCACACACATGCTACAAAGGTCCATGCTGGACCAATGTAACTATATAAAATTAAATTATGCGTACCTGGAATTCAGTAATCTTGGGACTCCGTCACCTCAATGGTTCCCGTTGCTGTCAATCATAGGCAGTGAGCCAATGAAAAGAGAGGAGGAGGGGCAAAGCCGTGGCTCCGTGTGTGAATGGACGCCCCTATAACATGCTGCTTCCTGTGGGGGCACCCAACGGGAGGGAGGGGCCAGGGGGGACCCGAGAGGAGGAGGATCTGGGCTTCTCTGTGCAAAACCACTGCAGAGAGCAGGCAAATATATGTATTTTTTTATTTAAGTCTTTAATATCACTTTCAGCTCTATTTATTTCAGGTACTTGTATAGTGCTGTGAATTTACACAGCGCTTTACATATATATTGTACATTCAGTCCCTAACACTCAAGGGGTGTACAATCTAAGGTCCCTAACTCAAATTTATACATACACATAATAGGGCCAATTTAGATAGGAGTTAATTAACCTACCAGCATGTCTTTGGAGTGTGGGAGGAAACCGGAGTACCCGGAGGAAACCCACGCAGGCACAGGGAAAACATGCAAACTCCAGGCAGGTGGTTCCGTGGATGGGATTCAAACCAATGACCCTAGTACTGCCAGGTAGAAATGTTAACCACTTAGCCACTGTGCTTTCCCTCTCATGTAATTAGGTTTAGACAAACCTGATGCATAGTCTGGCAGAGAGGTCTCTAATTATGAAATGATAAAAAAAAAAAAAAAAATTATATATATACTGTATATTACAATTTTTTTGCAGCTGTGCAGCTGATCTTTTTTCTGTTGTAGAATTACACCTGCTGCTGAACTATTCAGTGTCCAAAACTTCCAGTGTATCAGATGTCTGTCTCTCCCTGTTGCACTCTGTGGTTCCCCCAATCCTCAGGTTGCTACATGACCAGGGGCAGACTGACAACTCATGGGGCCCCCAGGCAATAGGGGATCATGGGGCCCCTGTGTCCTTGCCCAAACTCAAAAAAGCCTATGAAAAAGGTACCAGGGGCATCTCATGAGGCCCCCTACTGACCCTGGGCCCTCGGGCAGTGCCCGAGTTTCCAAATGGTCAGTTCGCCCCTGTACATGACTAGTGTGTCCCTTCAGCATTTAGGCACTTTCTGCTTGTAGTTGCATGCTTCTCCAATGCAGGCAATGTCAGTGAGCCAGGGTCTTCCTCTGCTAATGGATCATTTTTTACCTTACCTTCTTTCTGCACAGATAATACTGTATATTTGGCAGAGTGTACAGGATCTTAGTGATTACATAACAACATATATGGACCAGAGCCATAATACTGAAGACAAGAAGTGTGTCCCTGGAAGTCCATAAAGCTCACTATACACTATACAATCTGATTGTACAATCTCACTTATATCTATCAACTATGTAGTCTGAGGACCTGCCTGATTGGATACAGAATAATTGTATAGATAGGTGTATCCTCTTATATATTTTTTGGTAAATCTAAAGAAGATCGTATGGAGATTGTACAATCAGATTGTAGAGTGTATGACCCCCTTTATACACCTAAAAGTAACTTTTGGTGCTTTTGGTGCCATTAATTGTTAATGGTACCCCAAATGGGGAAGAAAAAGTGCATTTTTCTGTGTGCAAAAATTTGTGTCAAAATGCCCAATGAGCTAATTTTCTGCTTTTGTCACATGTAGGGCAGTCGATTGAAATCAATGGGCTGCCCTATGTGTGTCACAGGAAAAAATGCGCTAAAAAAATGTGCACTCTCACTATGCTAGATGTGAGTGAGGTCTGAAAGTGAAATCCGTGTGTTTTTATACCCTTCCACTCCCCGAGCTGTAGATAGATTACAAGAACAATGACAGCTGAGTGTCTCCCTCTGTGCTTGTTTAAAGCTGACCATACACTATGCAATCTGATTGCACAATCTCTGAACAATTTCCTTTAAATTTAGCAAAGCTATGTAATAGAAGAACCCACCTGAACAATCTGTTCACTTTGTATCAAATCAGGCAGACCCTTGCGCTACATAGTCTAAAGGAGATTGTACAGTGTATGGCCACCTTAAAAGAAGAAGCAAGAAAGTGGTTGGAAATAAAAAAGAGGTGGTACAGAAATGAGCAAAAGTGTGGTCCAGAGAGGTAATACATGCTCTATTCTGTGATGCAGTAAGGCAATGCATGATGGGATATGGCGTTTCCTGGATGGTCATATGATGCTACAGAAAGGGCTCAGATAATGTTTTTAAAATTTTGAATGGAGAGGGTGCAGACTGAAGGCTGCCATGGACTACGTCGGTGAGAGATATCTGGCTTTGGGCAGAAAAGACTTTACAAAAGCCTTCTATTATTATGAAAAGTGAAATTCTGCCTGAAAAGGTGAATTTAGCCTTTAAACCATTCCAGTTCACAACTTCTCTGATGTGATCCAGGCCCAGGTAATTAAACCCATTAGCAAAATATATTTTAAGCCAACAGACTAATAGAATTTGCAGAGGCATTATCAAACATGTGCATGCCTGGAATTTTCATTCAATTTTGGATGCATTCGTTAATTGAAGATTTTTGTTTTGTCATATTCGTTATGTTGAACTGATTCATTATTCAGAATTTGTTTCGTATCTTCAGCATTCACTTTGTATATTCGTTGGTTCCGGTTAGATTCTAAAAATGTTGCCGTTTTTTCTGGAATATTGCTGTATATTCAATATATTATCGAATTGGAATGATTTGCATCGGAAGTTTTCGATATTTTTGGATGCTAGTCCAACCCACCAAGAGAAATGGCATGAGCTGATTGGACAATATTGACTGGCATCATGCACATCCGAATTAACGAATGGAACAAAATTGAGATCCATTCATTATCCTAATCTGAATTATGGAACTACTTTGAAAATTTTAATAATTTCCCCATCCTTGAACTACTATTGCATCATGTGACATCATACAAATAAATCAAATGCATTCATTAATTTCGTTATACATTTTTTTTGATGCTTTGACATTCATTACTATGTCCATTTGGAGATTAATATACATCTGAATCTCTGAAAATGAAATTTTCATCGGAACACGAATCATAATGAAACGTGCGTGTCTAGGCTTTATGGCATGCAGTGATTATTTTAGTAGACCTGCCTGTTTGTAACTGCCAGAATCAAAATCTACAAATGCTGTTTTTTTATTTTGAACATCAGTAGCTGAGGATTAGAAGCTTCTCTCTGTTTCCCTGCAGACAGGTTGGGAAAGGACTGGGTCACATGGCAGCTGTATATCGATAAAGAAAAAAAGGTACTTAGATTTTTTTCAGTAAAATAATTACAGTGACATCATCCACATACATAGAATAAAAGAAAAGAAGGAGCGCCCGATGTCCAAAAGAATGCACTTTTGATGGTAGATTAAGAGACATTTATTGTGAGTAACAGGAAGTACACCAAGCCAACGCGTTTCAGGAGAAAATACTATCCCTTCTTCAGGGCTGTTGCTGCACGCTATTAATTGGGAAAAATTCCCACGCCGGTAATTATTTTCCAGGAAAAACTGACAGAGTGACCGCTGTCATTCCAGGGGCAGCAAAGCTGAAGAAAAGTACCATCATTTTAAGATCAAATACTTCTATATTAAGGTGTGTGTGAAGCAGATTACACATATTTTATCCCCAAAGAAGAATCAAAATCAAATCCATATCACAATTTACATTTATAGACATTTCAGCCCTTCTCTCTTACAGCCACAAAGCTCTTTTGATTGGTTGGGGGCTGGTTCAATGATGCTTTCTAGAAATCTGCTGGAACTGGCACCTGGAACTCTCAGTTTTTATTATAACTATACAAAACCGCTAAGAGTCATCTCTGAGTGCAATAACTCTAATGCACCAAATTGGACATACGCTACATCAAACTGGACACTTCCAGGACCACACAGCAAAAAACTCAATCACTCTAAACCACTAAACAGTAAGGTTAGCTCACTTTGGGCACTCAGAAGCTGATGACAAGGTTCAAATCTGACATAAGGAAAGAGCTCTTTAATTAGGAAGACTAAAGTCCCTTCAACTGCACAGGAAGATCTTCTGAGTGATTGCTGGGGCCCAGTTGGTGCACAACACGAATTCAAATCTCCTAGGATAAAATAGGTGAAAGTTCTTTAAAGTAGTAATGCAAGAACATTCACTACCACTTTAAGCAACATTTGAATTGAACAGTACCCCTTTTTGATATTCAAACTGAATTGAAGATTTTAAATAAGGGGGTTTGTAGAGTGGGCAGAGGCACTTGTTGGCAAAGGTTGATCCCTCTTTAGGCCACCATAGCAAATGGCAGCAATTGACAGTGTTTCTTGATGAAAGTGGACCAAATACAATAGAAACAGTGGTGTGGCTTGGCCCGCAGAGAGCGGATACTGCAGTAGGTTCTTATGAATGCTTTGCTGATAGGCTGGGTGAACTAGGCTTCAATATATGTAACTTGTGAACAATGTTTCTATCTCTAGATAGAGAATGGCTGATTCAAAGGAATGTCAAGAATAACTTAATTGGCTGAAGAATGGGACTATCTCACCCAATCACTGGCATCGCTAAGGTCACCGTAGATTGTAGGGTCACTGTAGATTGTAGCTTCTGCGGTTCCTCTTGCAGAGTTTGTTCGTGACAGCAGTTCTCTGGGTCTCCGGTTGACCGGGTAGATCTCCAGACTCTTTGGCGATGTCAGCTGTCTGCCTTTCTTCTCCCTCTCTGCAGTCTGGTTCGGTCCTCTGGCATTCTGCATGGCCTTCAAGACACCTTCCTTCCACCTCTCTCTCTGCTCACTTCCTGTATCCCAGGTTCCTGGGCTACTACCTGTAGTCTCCTAGTTCTTTACCATCCAGCAAAGTCCTGCAGTTCAGCCTACAGAATCCATGAAACTTTTCACTAGTGCATGCCACCGTGTTGCAGGACACTGCCACCTTGTGTCTTTTTTAACATCTTGAAGCCTGAACAACAGCAGGGTGATACATTTTGTAAAGAGTAACTGTTGTTTAGAAAGAAGCAATTCCCTCTGGGTGATCAACATGTACATTAATGTTGATATTATTCAGGATTTATAAAGCGCCAACAGTTTGCTCAGCTCTTTAAAACATTGAGGGCAAACAGTACAGTTACAAATTACAATTCAATACAGGACGAATCAGAGGGCCCTGCTGATTAGAGTTTACAATCTTAGAGGAAGGGTCAAGGGATACAAAAGGGGATAACTATGACATTGCATGGATTTTGATAAACTTTGTTGCAGACTCCTATCTGTTTCTCCTCTTAAGAAACAGCTGTTTGTCACATGCAGAGTGACTCTGAATGGGCATACATTTTTCATTATTAATCAGCTATTGAACTTGCAGGATTCTAATGGCAAAGTTGCAGGATCTGCATCCCTTTAAAACTAATTAACCTTTTGGGTGTATCTCACCAACAAATTTATTTTTTTTCCCAGAAGATGCCTAAAATATGACATGTATTTTAGTGCAGACTTCTGGGAAAATCAGTTAGCTAATCACACAAACAGGAAATGACATTTCTGTACTGTGTACAGAGTGCCTCCAGATTGCCATATTGCAATGCATTTTACAGAAAATTACAATGTTGTAGATTGAAAAGTAAAGGTAATTTTTAATAACATTAAATTACAACATGGCTTGTGTAGCAGTTTTATATGCTATATATATTTTTGCTATATTTTTTACCCTTCAAGTTCTATTCCCACTTCTTTTACTGTTGCTATTCAGTTATTATACAGAATTTATATAGCGCCAACAGTTTGCGCAGCAGCGCTTTACAAAATGAAGGCAGACATTACAGTTACCATTTGGTACAAGAGAAATCGCGGGGCCCTGCTCGTTAGAGCCTACAATCTAAGAGATGATATTTTAAAAAGCATTAAGCATTACCTCTAAATTATCTAAAAGAAAGAATTCTTGCTTTTTATAAGATACCTTTCAAATTTTTAGTATAAGGATAGTTCTCCTGCGCTGCCTCCTGAACTGCAATAACCCCTAAAAAAGTGGCCGCAAACACCTAACTATATTCCAAAATAGTGAGATCAAATAAAAAAGTGAATGGGTGCTGCGCTACTTAGAGCATGAACAATAAACCAGTATTGGTATTGGTGCAAGCCTAGTATGAATCTAATTGCATGAGACAAGAACTTCAAATCAGGCAGAACAAGAAGAAAAGAGGTAACATTGTTAATGCAAACAAACTCCCAAGACTCAAAGGACCACAAATGGAATCCACCAGTGGATTTATAGAATCTCACAAAACAGACACTTGCTAGGACACTGCTATATGAAGAATCAAACATTTTTGCAAAAGAGGTGGGTAAATTGGAAGCATTTGTAATCTAAAGCTTCAGATAAACTTGATGGATGAGATCTTACTGCTAAAGTCCTATAATTCTATACCAAAACCCCTGTACTAGAAAGTAAAAGAGGATGAATGCAAACGTCCAAATAGTCTTACCCCTCCCATGTAGTTTCTATAAGAAAAAAGATGGGAGCTTGAGACTTTGTGTAGAGAATTAAACAGGTAGACTATGCCTGACAGACACCCTTTGCCATGAGTTCAAGACCACCTAGACAATTTGGCTGGCTACTCAAGGTTCTCTAGTTTAAATTAGGGACATGTTTACCAACAAGATTGGTAAACATGGATAAAGGCATATGAGAGCATTTAGTACACCCTGAATGGGTGAGGATTCCCTTTGGGTTGATTTATTCCCCTATTAGCATTTCAAAGATGCATGGAAGAGACACCAGAGTAACTAAGAGATACTGTATATCAGCTTTTCTCAACCTGTTTAACCATGGAGGAACATTTGAAATACCTGTACAGTCCCAAGGAGCCCGTGCTAATATGTATTATATCTATAGCTAATGGTATATTAGCATGATAGTTACTGGGAACAGTAACTCGTAGTCAATGGGAAGCATGCTCTCCTTGCAGATAACTAAAAAGATCTTTGGTGTCAGCAGTTACTTATCTAAGAGGCTGAAACTGTTTAGGAACCTCTAGAGCAGGGGTGTCAAACTGGTGGCCCTCCAGCTGTTGCAAAACTACAAGTCCCATCATGCCTCTGCCTTTGGGAGTCATGCTTGTAACTGTCAATCTTGCAATGCCTCATGGAACTTGTAGTTTGGCAACAGCTGGAGGGCCTCCAGTTTGACACCTGTGCTCTAGAGGAACCTTAGGGTTCCACAGAACCCTGGTTAAGAAACTCTGCTGTATATAGCATGTTGTTCATCTAATCTGGATGATTTTCCCTGTTATTCCAAGACTTTTTCAGAACACCTTGAAGTATTGATGAAGATTTGCATACACGTTGTGTGCACATGGCCTCTAGCTGGGACAATCCGGTTAGATTTCTTGGTAGATTTTGTTTGGCTTCCTGATTATGCGAGGATACATGGAATGCATAGAGGCTTGAGTCGCTGACATCACGTCCGGTCCCTTGGTCCACGGCACATCCGGTCTATGGAATGCATGCCAGCTCAGTAGTCGCAAGCGCACTGTGAAGATCCCCCTTGTGAGCTGTTTATGTTGGTGCCTTTCTTGGCACCTAAATTACGTGGGTGCACTGACATCTTTGCCTTGTTATTTCACTCATTTTTATAACAGACTGCACAATATTACTTTACTTTTGGCCTCCTTCTCCATTTATAACTGAGTTGTGCTACATCTCATAAAGAAGAGATAACTGTATGAAACCAGGAGTCCATCTATATTGCTGGTCTGACTACTGTTAGTGGCTATATCGTGAGTTGGCATTTTGGTGTGTATTGCTAGAGTTTTTTTTTCTTGGGAGAGTGCATGTGATCAGCACAGAGCCAAACAGTGCTGTCTATACAGAGGGTCTGGGGTCCTGCAGCCTCATAGGGGAGAATGAAAACTCCTCCTACAAGCTTTAACCCATGCTCTGCTGGACACTGATAGAAGTCACAATACTACTGCTGATGAGAAAAGGTATTTAGCAGTTTATATTTACTAAAATAATTGCATTTCCATGTTCTGTGTACTGTGGGAGACCAGATATAGTGAATGCAGGGTCCTGGGTTTAGTAACACCGTAACCGCTTCCGTGCCGCCATATAGCAGAAATACTGCTACAGGGCGGCAAAGGTGCGCAAAATAACATACATATACGCGATTTTGCAGTTCCGGGTAGGAGGCAAGTGCCGCACCATATCTGTGCTGCCATTCGCGGCCTTGGCTGTCAATGACTGGGTCACAGCTGGTGATTCCCCGCCGGCACCCGGCGATCTACGTGGATTTCCGAAGAGGGAGAGACCTGTATGTAAACAATAGAGATCTCTCCCCTGCCAGCTCCTGCACATTGCTTTGTGTGGCTCTGCTATGCAATGTGCTTACAGTGTAAAGCACACACAGCCCACCTAGTAAAACAGCACACAGTTAACCCTTTGATCACCCCACATGTTAACACCTTCCTGCCCTGTGCCATTAGTACTGTGTCAATGCTTTTTATTAGCACTGATCACAGTATTGGTGTCACTGGGGATGTTAGTGACACCAAGTCAATTCCCCCCAGTGTCAGAATGCCTGCCGCAGTCCCGCTATAATTCGCTGATCGCCGCCACTACTAGTAAAACAAATTTGTGTATATATCGCCAATTGTAAACGCTATAACTTTCACATAACCCAATTATTTACACGTATTGGGATTTTTTTTTTAGCAACGACATGTAACAGAATGCATTTTGGCCTAATTTTATGACGAAATTATATTTTTAATTTATTTTTTACTGGACATGTTTAACCTCCCTGGCGGTATTCCCGAGTGTAGCCCAGGGTAAAGTTTCAGTACCACAAACGGTAACCCCGAGTTACACTTGGGAATACCCTGTAGCGCTGCTCTGGGATCTGTTCTTCTCTTACCTTGGCCTGCGCTCCCACGATGTCCCTCCTGCAGTGTCCCCTGTAATGTCCTCCGGCGGGTGCCGGCATCTGTCATCTGGGTTCCGTTCCCTGTGACGTTGAGTCGTACGGGGACAGAACTGGCGGGAAAATTGAAAATGACAAAAAGTGACATTCATTAAATTCACTAAAATAACATAGTAAAACATTACTGTATCAAACCATTTCACATACATTTTGTCCCGAGTGCTTTGTCCTGTGCCCTGCCTGCATTTTTACTGTTCTTTCTGCCTGGAAACTGAGAAACGTCCATGGCGTCCAAAAAGCGTCCCTTTAGGTCAAAAGCGGTTTTAGACCAGCTAGAGAACAGCGATAGTAAATTAGAACCACTTGCAGAATTGATTGATAATGATTTGTGGGGAAATTCGTCAGCAGACACTGAAAACGATTTTACGACTTTGCTCAGTGATGTGTGAACTTGGCGCTATATTTCAAATTTCAGTGTTTTTTGTTTGATTATATTATTGAATTAAATGTATTATTATTATTTTTTATGATTATTTATTAAATTATAATTTATGATTTTGTGTTTCAAATTTTATCATACCCGGGATGTTTACTAGACTCTTGTTCGTACAAATTTCAGTGAGTTATTCCTAAGAATTACAGGCCTACAATAAAAAAAATACATATTTCCATGCAAAAAAATGTACCGCTTTGAGCACAGAAATATGGACATAATCAGACCGCTAGGGAGGTTAATAGCAAAAAGTCAAAAATATAGTTTTTTTTCAAAATTGTCGGTATTTTTTTGTTTATAGTGCAATAAATAAAATATGCACAGGCAATAAAATACCCCCAAAAGAAAGCTTAATTTGTGGGGAAAAAAAAGACGTAAATTTCATTTGTGGGGGCAGTGTTGCATGGCCCCGCAATTGTCAGTTAAAGTAACGCAGCGCCTTATCGCAAAAAATTGCCTGGTCAGGAAGGGAGGTACATCCTCTGGAGGGCAAGTGGTTAAAGAGTAGACCAAGTCCTCCTTGGAGGATTTTGCAAGGCACACACAGAGGTTCCTGTAGCTGCACCATGTTGGGCACATGCTGCAATGCCAGTAGACTTAGTAAGCATTTACAGAAAAGCATATAAACAGACCTTCAAACAACCTTACAAGTCTGCGTAAATAAATTCCTGACATATCACAATACACAGTAACTGTATAAATTCCTTTTATGAATAACACATAACTGAGCTCTAGGAAAACGACTTTACCTGAGATAATATCATCAGTCTGCTGCAGGCAGAAGAAAGCAGTTACTCAGTCCAATCTCTCCCAGTGATCAGAGGGCATCACTGTAACTTTTTTGCAAGTCAAGGTGAAAGACTGCAGCAGAGAACTGACATTTGTAAATACAGCTAAGACCTACACACATGCCAGGATTTACATAACCACACCATCTCTGAACCAGAACCTTCATGCTAACCCTAGATCAGGGGCATCCCTAGGCAGGTGCGGGTGGTGCGCGCCGCTCCAGGTGACACCTTTTCCACGGGGTGACACTGAACCCGCTCCACCAGGGGCGGACTGACCATTCGGCACTGCCTGAGGGCCCGGGGTCACTACAGGGCCCCATGAGAGGCTCAGTCCATCCCTGTATGTGCCACTTCTGAAATAAGCAAGCATTGAGGAGACGGACAGTGAGGCAGGCACTTCGGAAACCTCTCCTCCTCCTCGGAGTTTTAGCAGAGGGGTGGGTCCACATCCCTGCCACGGGTGCTGAAAACGGAGAGCTGGAGGGGTGGGCAGAGTATGCAGCATGTCAGTGTAATCCCTGGGCCCTGGTGACAGCACTGCAGCTTCATGTAGTAGGTAGGGGGGTGAGAGAGAGGGGTGGGGGAGAAAGAGGGCAGAGAGAGAGAAGAGAGAAAAGGCAGAGAGAGAAAGAGAGAAAGAGGGGAGAGAGAGGGGGGCTGATCCATCCTGCGGAGATCGTCGCAGAGGGTGTCACCCAGAGTTACCACACTGGGTGACACCAACCCTAGGGACACCACTGCCCTAGATGATGTCTGAAGCAGATGGATTTGTACTTTTGGAAGTGGAAAACAGATGAATGATTTGATGTTTCAGCATTTTTTGTAGCTTTGGATAGAGTAGAGAACGGTTAGAGCCCTGATCAAGTTTTTATTGCTACCAGTGTTTCCTCTGCGGAGATTTAACCCTCTGTGTGGGATCCTTTTATGAAGTGGTATCTACCGCTTTAAGAAATGTGGTAAAATACCGCTTGGCGTTTTTAAAAAAATTTTTGGGCATTCACCAAAAAACACTTCTTCGAAATACTTACTACATGTAGTATTTTTCCAAAATACGCTGTATTTATCTCATGAAACCATGCAATGTTTTATCTCATGCGATATCCAGTGGGATGGATACAGTGGAGGACCCCTGTCAGTTTTTATTGCTAATAAAGAGGTAACATGGTTTAAACTGTAGAAATATAACAACTCACTCAATCAGTGCGGTCTCTGCAGCAGATGTATTAATACAAAAGAAAAAAGATGTCTGGAATACCAATCAAAGGGAAGATGCTTTTACAGGATACATGTGGTGTGTCAAAAACAAGTAAGTTAAATTACGTAAATCCAAAATATCTTTCTAAATGACAAATATTGAATAAAAATATCAGAAATTATACACATAGGGATTGATTTACTAAAGGCAAATAGGCTGTGCACTTTGCAAAGTGCAGTTGCACTCTGCAAAAACAGTTGCTCCAGAGCTTAAGCTCTGCTGACTTCCGTCATCCAATCATGTGCAAGCAAAAGTGCTTTTTTTTTATTTTCCATATACGTGATTGGGTATTCCTTGCAAAGTGAATGCAAAGTGAATCTTTATCTCATTTACAAAGCTCTGGAGCAATTGCATTTTTAGAGTGCAACTGCACCTTCTATGGTCCACAGTCAATTTTCCTTTAGTAAATCAAGCCCATACTGTATATAACTACCCTTCTTCTATAACAATGTATTTTTTACTGGTAAAAAAAGGGTATGATTTATGTTACTGTTTTCATTCAATATTTGACATTTAGAAAGATATTTTGGATTTACATAAAGTATAACTAATGGAAAACCTTTTTTTTTTTTAGCTTTGGATAGTGTGGAGAGGTATTAGAACACCTATTAGGTTTTTATTGCTGTCTGTCCCCATTAGGGAGGTTCACCCTCTCTATTTGTCCTGTTTACCATTACTGAAAGTGAAATTATAAGAAAATTCCAAATTTTTGGTTGTTCCCCAGAACAGTAACAGAGGGTAAATTTTCTAATGGGGACACTAGTTATGGTGACCTGGGGGACGCCAAGGGATTCCCTTAATTTGTAGGGATTTCCTCTCATTTCCTGTTTTGGCTATGGGACAGGAAGTGAAGGTAAATCTCCCCAATGGGACACAGGTGGCAAAAAAAAAGGAAAAAACTGACGGGTTCTAACTATCCATTACTCTATCCAGGGGCAGACTGACAACTCATGGGCCCCCGGGCAATAGGGGATCATGGGGCCTCTGTGTCCTTGCCCAAACTCAAAAAAGCCTATGAAAAAGGTACCAGGGTCATCTCATGGGGCCCCCTACTGACCCCGGGCCCTCAGGCAGTGCCCGAGTTTCCAAATGGTCAGTCCGCCCCTGACTCAATCCAAAATGAAAAGAAAGTTTTGCTTTTAGTTATACTTTCAAGCAGCCTTTGTCAACCTTTTCAACACAGAGAAAATCTTGAAATAACTTTCCAGTCTCAGGGAACCCCTGCTAAAAATGACTGTATCTACAATAGTAATAGTGATACAATAGTGTGATGATCAGTGGGAAGAATGCCCCTTATAAAAAGATCAATTATGTCATTGGGAATTTGTCAGTGGGAGAATATCTGTAAAAATAATTGTGAAAAAGTAAAATCCCCGCTACATATGACATATGTTCTAACAAGGGATTAGACCATGATGATAAGCATGTACATTGTATTGTGTTTGGAGTGATTGGGAAGATTTTTGCAGCAAATGATGTACAGTATATGCTTGTATAAACAAAAAAAGTCTCTGAAAATCTGTTGAAATGACAAGAGAAAATCGATAGATTTTACTACATGTAATGGGTGGATTTACTAAAGGCACATAGAGTAAGCACTTTGCTAGTGAAGTTGCTCCAGGGCTTAGTAAATGAAGGGGGGCTCTGCTGACTTCCATCATCCAATCATGTGCAAGCAAAAATGCTGTTTTTTTCCCTTGTGTGTGATTGGGTATTCTTTGTAAAGTGAAGCTTTATCTTAGTTATTAAGCACTGTAGCAATTTACAAAGTGCACAGTCTATTTTCTCTAAAGTACAATTATAGGCAAACTTTTTTTTCATTTTGGATTGAGTTAGAAAGGATTATGACCCCTGTACGTTTTTTTTTATTTGAGATTTACCTTCACTTCCTGTCCCATAGCCAAAACAGAAAGTGAGAGAAAATTCCGACCTGTGGGCCCCCTCCAGGTCACCATAACCAATGTCCCCATTTACAAATTTCCCCTCTAGTACTGTTCTGGGGATAACCCAAAATTTGGAATTTTCATTTACTTTGACTCTCAATGATAATGATAAACAGGACAAATAGAGAGGGTGAATTCAGGATAACAATCAAAACCTGACAGATGTTCTCATCCGCCTCAATTCTATCCAAAACTAATTTTTTTTCCCCCTGTAGTTATGTGTTAAATAAATCAACCCAATACTTTCCATAGTTGAAAGAAATAATTCAAAAAGGTAGAAACTACTCCAAATTGGCTATTATATTTTTACATTCCTTAAAGTGGAACTTTGCCCATAACAACTTGATAAAAAAATAATGTTCTTTAGCAAGGAACATACATTCCACATTAATAAATATGCTACTAAAATCAATGTATGCTGTAAAATGCCTCCAGCATTGTTCTTGTTTCTTCTTGCTGGAGGCTGCCATTTTGCTGAAGCCCAGAGCCTCTGCACAACAGTAAATCATAAAGCGGAACTAAACCCATCAATTTAACAGTTTAAAAAAACAGTTACATTCCTGGAATGCTGGGATTGATAACTGTCAACCAAACTGTCAAACCATCAAATGTCTGGTGTCAAAACTGATCACATGTGCAGCACCATGGCAGTTGCAGATCAAACAGAAGCAGCTACCTTGGCTGTAACGGACAGGAGGGTTTGATACCTCTTTAAGGCTGTCAGCAGATTGGTCTCTACAAATTCGTCAGTGCCAAAAAATGGAGAGCAGCTGAGCATATGCAGATCCTAGTGAGACAGTGTATTTTACTGGATTTTAAACAGTATAGACACTTATTTTTAATGTTTTACATAGGTATAAAGGCAAAAGGGGTCAGCTTGATATGATCTAG